GCATGATGCAAGTTATAACACTTCTGTTAGTCTCAAAGGTGCCACAGGACCCTCTGTTGCATGATGCAAGTTATATCCTGTATGACGCAATACCAGCTTCAGATTGCATCATTCATTGTTTTGCCTAAAAAGCAAGTACTGTCCAAACCCAGTCATAGATTGATTCATAGATCCAGTCAAAGATGTATTTTAGTCATTTCTGGTTTAAACTGAGATCCCTTCCCTTTATAACTCACGTATCCTCTGCCATTCCCAAGTCAAGGGTCGTATATACTGACCCAATAGCATATCTTGAAAACTAGAGCCAATCAACAATTTTAAGCATCATTTTCGTTCTCAGTGACCCAGAATTAGTAAAGTTTGACTACATTTATTTCAGAAGCATTTTGGCTGTAGAGCAGTGTATTTTCCTATTAATCTACCTACAGAACATGATTGTCGAGAAACAATTATAAGTGCATTACTAAAATATTCTATGACATAGTAATTATATGATGTGTATATATTTAGATATTGAAATCTACAAAATTCTCCAACACATTAAAAATGTAAAAAAAAAATAATAATCCCTGGATCAGTGTTAAGGTAACTGTGCTAGGATGAATGTCCTCAGCATGCAGCTAGTGAGAAATAAGTGCAGGATGTTTTTAGTGGCCTGCCACCAGTGTTTATTGCTGGAAGCTTCTGAATGCAGCCACTTTCCCTGTTCAAGCTGTTTAAAATGCTGGAGAATTCTAAAACCTGCTTTTGATAGTCCATTGCCAGGTACTGTATGTCCCATTTTTGATTCTCTCTGAAGGTTTAATACAGCTGCTAAGGTGTGATGTAGTGGTGGGAGTTGCGGTGTATAATTTCTCTATTTTGGGGGAAATTTTGGAGAAGCAAACTGATCTAAAATATAAAATGTGTGCCCAGATATTCAATTATGGGTGCCTTGGAAAATTCCGCAATGCAACTACTATACTGAGGGGAAGAAAGCTGATTAGTAAGTAAAATGATTAACTATCTAAACGCATCACACTGGGCAATTTTCCAGTTTGTCAGAACTACCCAGCTGTACCTGCAAAGCAAGGAGTTTTGGGAAGCATGAAACTCTGTCAGTTAAATGTGGCAGCCTACTACAAGAGTTGAAACAAGAGCTTAGTAGCTGGTGTGACCCCTACCACAGTAGTGTTAAGCTAGTATGTCCAATAAAAGGTACACTGCTTAAAGCAGCTTCCCTTCATTATAAACAGGATACTGAAAATATACTGAGTGGCATTTGGTGACAGGGGCTCTGGAACAATTTGTACAATGGGGGTGCTGAGAGCCATTGAACCAAACTGCAAACCCTGTATGTAATAGAAATCACTTCAAGTCAGGGGGTGAGGCAGCACCCCTAGTTCCAGCACCTATGCTTGGTGAGCATTTTCCTCAATTTCTGTCACAAAAATGCAAGCCATATTTCAGAAAGGAAAAAAAAATATTGTTCAAAACGTGAGTTCAAGTAGAAAATTTCAACAAAATGGAACTTAAAATATGACAGAGGATATGGGAACAACAAGAAACTATATATATTAGCCAAATCCAAAGCTCACTGAAGTCAGTAGGAATCTTTCCATTGACTTCTACGGGATCTGGAGCAGGATATGTGTTAAGAACTACAAGATCATTGTAATAGATATTGTTCTTACCTCACCTCCACCTACTGGAATAACATTATTTTAGTCTCCACTTGTAGAAGTGGAAACATCTGTTTCATTAAAACTCCATGACTTTCTAAAATTCAGGAACATGAGTTACTCAGGGATGTGTGTATTAGCTTGTTGCAGCCACCTTTCAAGCCCAGAATCTGCACCTTTTCATTTGCACATCCACCCACCAATCAATTGAATTTGAAAGCGAAAGAAGATATTTCTTCAATAATACTTTAAAAACTGTCCTAAGACTTCAGCATTAAGAATGTATGTTGGATACAAGTCTCATGGGTATAATTGTGATGATACTTTTACCCCTTATATACACAGATAGGTAGAAGCAAAATGCTAAAGGTGATATCCTCCCCAGCATTTTTGTGCAGCCCAAATCCACCTCACAAAATACGTGTTCTGAAAAAAAAAATCAGATTTAAAAAAGAAAGTTGAAACTAACACAGCAAGCAAAAGATATTTAAAAAACCGTGCAATTCCAGAAAGCAGTTGAACTGATCACAGGTTATAATCATAGTCAATCATACCAAAATAGGACAAAACTAAGAAAACTGCAGTTGGAAAATAATAATAAATAATCATACTTTGCCCTTCATCTCATGATCGCAAAACACTTTGCAGATATTAATATAATCTCAAAACAGCCCTCAGTGGAACTAAATATTATTACAGTAGATCTTACATATGGGTAAATTGAGGCACAGAGGAAATGGTGACAGTGCTAGGAATAAAATATTGGAGGAGTTGACTTCCAATCCCCAGCTTTCACCCTTTGACGCTATTCCCTCACGATGGAACAGTGCAAGAATATTTATATGAGCCCATGCAGAGCAGTGCAAGAATATTTATACAGGTAGAGGCAGATTATGGTTTCGTGGGGCCCACTTCACCCTTTCTGCCTGCAGTTCCCCGGCACCCGCCCATGCTCCTGCCATGGGCACTTGCCCGACTCTCCCGTCCTGGCACTCCTGCCGGGGAGAAAGGTCAGGGCGGAGGGGTGTCCTAACCCTGGACCCCAGCAGAAGCACCGAGAGGACTGGCGGAGTGGCACAAGTCCCTACGCCCCGACCCCATTCCCCAACAGGAGTGCCGGGTTGGCTGGCAGGCACCCATTTTTCCAGGGGCCCCCAATTAGCCAGGCTAATCCATCACTGTATACGGGGTGGGGAGGGACTCTCAAAAAGGTACTGAACATTCATTTTATTAGTGTGGAATATAAGAATTTGGCTGAAGCTGAGCTTTAAAAAAAGAGTGTTACCTGCTACCAGTCTGCACTTATACCTCATCTTCACTGCTGCAAATGGCATTGTGACAAACAGAAGAATCCTAGTTAGTGCAGCCAGTGCTGAATTATCTTATTTAAAAAACAAATCAAAAACAACAACAAAAAGCACCAAACATACACCCTGGAAACCTTCCCAAATTATACATCTGTCTCTCTAATTTACACTTTAGAGGATGAAGCCAAACAGCAATGACATCACAAGGATTAGTGAATTATTCTTTCCACTACAACTCTCCCTGATTTTCCTCCTTGGCTTATCCTCCAAAACAAAGCATAAACCGAAACAAAAGTTGGTTACTGGATAGCTATCTAGAAGTATACCTCTACACAATCTAAATTATGTCTGCCACTGTCAATTCATTTTTAATAAACACCATATTCCAGTTAGTTTACTTAGGTTTGGCTGGTTGGACAAACTAAAGAGTTAGTCCGCAATTCAGTAAAGCATTTTTTCTCCTTCTCACTGCTCCCATGGGTTCACCCCCTTAACCCATTTATATGATAGTAATAGTTCTGAATTATAAATGAGATTTTTAGTATAAATGAGATTCTCCTCCTCTTCCCCCAGCAAGTGTTTTGGAAACACTTTATGCACTTCTTCAGATAATATAATATGCTGATGACTACCTGACGGGACACTGTATCAGCACATCTAAAAATGAAATTAGGAGGAAAGTGACATTACAGCAAACTTCAAACTCCTTGTTCTGGGGTAGATGGGAACAGTTGCAGTAATTATCAAGAAGAATTTCTAAAGACTAGGACTAAACAGTATTTTGACAGTATTATCTTGATATAAATCCACGACATAAGGTCCAATCCTGCAAACACTCATACGAATACTTCCAATGGCATCACTCACATGTGTAAGGATTTTCAAAACTAGAATCATAGTCTCCAAATGAGAGTCTCAAAAGAATCACCATGTACTATTCTGTGGTAACACAGTAAAAGTTTTGAACTCTGAAGCTACAAGCTTTTAATTAAGGTAAACTTAATTGCTAGCTTTAAAGTACACCTGCTACTCAAGTACTTGATATATCCCAAGTGGCAGAGACATTTGTGCATAGTTTTGGTACATCTCCAATGACATCTGGTATCTCATCCAATTATACATTTTAAGGAAGACTTACAGGAACCTAGACATTTTAGTAAAGGATGCCAAAAGCTTTAAATATAGAGTTGTATATGGGGCATAAAATGAATTACTGGATTGCTAGACATATGCTATATTACTAGCACAAACAAGACTTTAATCAGTAAGGCGGGTTTGGCTACTTTCCCCATCATAACCTGATTTCCACTTCAACCCACATTCCAAACAACATAAAAATATATGTACTTAAATAAATAGATCTCATGATTGATCACCACTGTGTTATTGCTCCACTACCTTTTCCCATACCTTTGTTTATTGACTTCCCTTGCTGTCTAATATCAAATATACAGTGGGTGCATTTAAAAAGATTATATTCTGGGCATAGAGTTATTACCAATTCCAGACTCATTCCTTGGACTTCAAGTGGGGAATAATCCTGTAACCTGTAACATCTCTAAAACTGGAATGGATTTTTTCAAAACTATACCCCACCATAGGGTCAGATCCTGAAATCAATAGTGTTTTCACTGAGCACAAGGGGTTTTCTTGCATGGAAAAGTTGTCTGATCAGTGCCTTAAGACTGTAAAATCTTCAGGGGAGGGGTATATGAGTTTTAGTTGTCTGCAAATGGCCATGCACACACCTGGCATTTATATACAGTATATAAAGTGCAACAGAAATGGCAATTGGACAAAATATTTTTAGATTTTACAAAATTGCTTTGAATTTAAATTTAAAAATTATATGTATGGTCCTGTTAGATAACAAAAGCAGGCGCAATCACACCAGTAAGCCAAATATTAATGAGCTTCACCATCAATAACAATATAAAGAAGTTACTTACGCCTGTCGGTCCCTGTACAGCTTGTTAACTTTTTCCCATTGGAAGTTAAGCTGAGTCAGCTTTTCCTGTATCTTTGCAGCTTCCCCAGGTGTGGCACTTTGCAAAGCTGATGTCTTCTTGCTGCGAATCACCTCAATCTGACCTGAGAAGCTCCCCAGGCGATCTTTAACTTTCTGCAACATCAACATTTTAGAAGAAAAAAAAATGAAACATAAGCTGTTGTTAAAAAGCAAATAAACAAAACAAAAACACTGTAATAACCTTGACAATGATAACAGTCCTACAATACTTAAGCAATAACGATTGAGGCACAAGTCATTTCCTGGGGAATTAATAACTAGTGGAGAGAACTGATGGCTTAAGGTGAAGCAGAGGCCCATTAACCTCAGCTAGTCATTAATTCCACAGGAAATAACATGTGTTAAGGTTACTACTACTTTAACCCAGTTTATTTATAAGGAAATAGAACAAACACCCCTTTTAACTTAAATTGCACATCCTTTCAAAAACACCACCTGGTTAATCAAGTTTGCTTAGAAATGATCCGGCAAGTTAGCCATGCTCATTCATTTTCTGGAGGGAACTTTAACTGTTTAATTGCTGCTATGATATGTAAGACGTTGTGTTCAGTACGCATGCCACAGATATTAATGTAACAGCCTGAAATAATTAGTACACTGAGTACCACTGACACTGAATTTTGCTGAATGTGCCATCTATGTTCACAACATAGGGTTAGCCATATAGTCTAACTCTCTGTCCCCAAAAGTGGTTAGTTCTTGATGTTTCAGAGGAAGGTGAAATCCTCCATATTTCACCAAGAAATGGAATGGTGTGCACTGCAGGACTGAAAGGGAAGAGGACAGAATTGTTTCCTGACCCTTAAAGATATTAAAAATTGCCTTATTATCTTAAGCTTTCAAAACTCCATATGTTGTGAGTGGTTCTGAAATTATTCATCCAGTCACTCCATTAAATCCTGACAGAGAATTATGTGGATTGACTGTACACTATGTAAAGTAATATATAAATAATTTTTTTTATTTCTATTCTGTCTTCCATCCAAGAATCCCAAAGCACATTACAAGTGTCAGTGAATGTAGCTTCAGAATCTCTAACCTCTCTTCTTCTCTCTGGTCCTTCCCTTCCTTTTCCTCTTTGAAGTCCTCCTCTGGTGCTGCTTCTCATATCAAAAAAGTTTCCCGTTCCTCTCTTTCTGCCCTTCCACAAGTTGTTTCACATCTGCTTTGGATGGGTGCTACCCATAGTGAGGGTGAATGTAAGTCCCCCTACTTCTGCCACTACAGTGCCAGCTGCCTGTATGTGAAACCATCTATTGTGCTAACCTTCTGGTGGCCTGTGGCTGGAGGAAACTTGTGGTAGTGGTAGTATTGTCAATTGCAGCCCAAGCAGTCTACTCACAGGCATAAATAAATAAAAGGTTCTAGCAGACCAAGGCTTTGACGATTTCTGGGTGTTTGTGATGAAGACCATGAATAATTTATCTCCACTCTATCACCTTGACTCAAAATGTGTCTACTGATAATGCATGAGTATCTATAGAATATTGCTGAAACGCCAATAATTCTGCTTCATTGTGCGTTCAGTGTAAATTCTGGGATGCCTGGGGATGTCCCTTTCAGTTTCTCTACTTAGACCTTTTAATATTCCTGACAGTCATACTTCCTCAGTATGTCCAAGGCTCAGTAGAGAAGCTGAAGGCAGCATAGAATATTAAAATAGGATAAATCCAAAGAGAGTGCAGGAAGTAAAAATTAAACCTCCACATCTTAATTCTTAAAAACCCAATAATGTCCAAGGATAAGCTTCTACAACCCAATCAGGATCTGCAATGATAGAGGTGAGATAGATGAGGTGTCTCCCAAATATCCTTAATTAGATATGGGTTCTTCCCTGAGAGGCCCCTTTCAAATGCTCATTTGGGAAAATCATATCACTATGTCAGGAACTTGCTTCCATTCTGGGGCGTATCAAATATCTGTCTCCTCTTAACAGGTGACTGGGAAGGACATAATTAATATTTAGGAAAAAAGAAATGGGGTGGTTTTTTTGAACATCTCCCTCCTCCTGTCCTGTTCCTGAAAAGGCATAAAACACTTACGAAGGCATTAAATCATACCGTGGATGGGGTCTAATCTACCACACTTTTTCCCCTTTCAGCTCTACCAATTTTTTTTTTTAACATGATGAATTGGTTGGGAAAATCCAATGCAAAGTAGAAGGTATGCTAGTGACTCCAGCATAAAACTTGCGTTAAAAAAATATGAAAATTTCCCTTTGTGGATTAATATGGAATGAATCTGAGTACCAGAGAAAACTATTTCCTCAAGAAGCTGACCTCCTCTGGCACATTGGTCAATCTACTAAATAGCCATAATTCACAACTTTCCTTCTGTTCCTTTGTCTTTATGTCACATGGAAGATTGCAAATATTGTTTTTTTTTACTGAATAACCCAATTGTAAAAAATCTTCAGCATAAAATTATACATATTAGAGACCTACAAACAATTCACAAGACAAGTATGTGTACTATAAGCATCTAAATTGAACAGCTCCTCCTTCCTCACAAACACCTCAGTACTGTATGGCACACCATCCTCAGCACTATTCCAAGGGTAATATGGATGAACTGAACATTTTTTTACAGACATTTTACAGACAAATTCTGTAGGATGCTCAAAAGCAGGTCATACACGCCTATATCTTGTGGAGGGCATCTCACAGATTCCAGTGTGACAAAAACCTCCTACGTTGCTTGATGTGTTTTTCATTTTTATTTCTGTAGTAGTTCTGTTTGGAAGGGTCTAGATGAAATAGATCAGTGTCTCCTTTGAGGCTTTGCCAAGACTCCTGCTTGACAGAGTCCACATTTGGTACTTCCTTCCTGCTACCTGTCCAACTCATTTTTTCTCCTGCCCATTTTCCCTAGCCACATTGCTCGGCATCTCCGTTTCGCTCCCTCACTTTCTTCTGAAGTATATGGCCTCAGACTGAGCGCAGAGCTGAGAGCTGATAAGAGCAATGGGCTGATGTTTCTTAATTCTGCTTAATGCAAGAGTGCTTCTCCAGCTGGCAGCTAGCTCCCTGCTCCAAAGTGGTATTTTAGGCATAGTGGGGAAGGCTGCTGATTGGACTGCCTGCAAGGGAGGAGCAAGCTGGCAGCTTGTGGGTGTCAGCACTCTTACACCACCAGCAGAATTGGAGTGGAGAGGGTTGAGCAGTTTTGGAGGAAGCAGAAAGAAAATTAAAATTTCCCTCTAGCACTATATGAATCTCCTCAGCCCTCTGACTAGACCTTAGTAACTCTGTTTCGCCATGTGAAAAAATAAATGCAGACTCCACCTTCCTCTCAATCCCAAAGAGCATGCACTGGCACTAACAGCAAAGGATTTGAAGGTCTCTGTTTCAAGTAGAAGAAAAGGGACAATTAACATGAATGGACTGTTTTGTAGTGGTACTATCAGTGTCTTCCTATGAATCCATATTCCATCCAACAGTGACTGGGTAGTTTCTCGCCTCCTGAAGACTACTTTGTTGTTACAGAATCCTGTGAAAACTGCACACTGAGCATTAAGACTTATACTTCTTATTTCATGTGGGCATAAAGTATATGCATGTACTAATTATTTAGGTACAACATTGTGCAATCAATGTATACACCATGCCACAAGGAGATATAATAAACAAATTGCCCAAGTAAGGGTCTGATCCTGCAAACCCTTGCTCATGTGAATAATCCCTATTCACAGAGGTATCCCTGCTGAAGTCAATAGAATATACTCATGTTAAGGGATTAAGGCATTTAAAATTTCTATTGTCCTTCTCTGAACCTTTCTATTTCTTCTATAACGGAATAAAATTACAGTATCCAAGTAAGGATGTACCATTGATTTAGATACTGGTGTTATAATATTTTCAATATTATTCTCTAACTCTAACGTAATGCAGAATAACATTATTTCTGATTTGAACTACAGCTTCACCTGGAGCAATGTGTTTTGTTGAACAGCCCATAACGATGACAGGAACTCATGAATGCTATGTGTAATTTAAGATATTCCTTCTGATGTGTGTAGACAGGTGTATCCCAGAATGCCCCTGTAAATACCCCCCTCAGTTTCCCTTTGAGTTCTGAGAATCCACTTACAGACAAAAAAAGAAAAAGTATTTAAAACATGTTTAAAACAAAATTCCCCTTCTTTTGAGTTATAATTTATTCAACATAGTTCATCGTCCCAAAGTGAGCTTCAGGATTTCCACAGCCCTGCTTTTGGGATGTGTGGTTCAAATCTTAGCTTCCCCATCACACAAACTCTCCTTTTAGTTCAGGGTTTCACTGCCCTCTTTCTGGGGGCAGATTGCTGGCTGAGTCCTTCTTTCTGGGCTCTGAGCCTTCTTTTCACCAACCCAATCAACCAACCACTCCCTTTATGCTTCCCAAGCACTTATCTGGACCAGCAAGGAGAGAGGGAAGCCTTGCCTCACCCACTAATACGAGGCTCCTGATCCTTGGCCCTTAAAGGAAAAATAGACTGTTTTCTTCCTATACTTTCAGCCTCCCAGATACAAACTATTCCTCGGGACCATCTGTCTCTCACCAATATCTGTTTTGGTTTTCTGGACACTTGGAATGGGCTAACTAACCTCTCACACTACCTTTTTCTGGTCTGAAAGGGCCTTTACCCCATTACACTGCATAACCTTACACTTGACTACAGTTGTTTTCTCCTACTATCACATTGCCCAGTTGACTAGCTTTGTCAGATGCTTCTGAAGTTGCTCAATGTTTTTCCTGGTCTTTACCAAAATAACTGTCATCTTCAAATTTTGTCATCTCACTGCTCACCCTCTTTTCCTGATATTTAACACATTAAACAACATTTGTCTCTGTATAGGTGTTCAACTCAACCTACTATTAATCTTATTCCATATAGAAAACTGATCTCATATATATATATATTCCTAGAGTGAGCACCTCACCTGCCCTACAGGGACCAGGTTAAAGAGCTGGAGTTGTATATAAGGGCAGTAAAAGCCCTATCTCCATTCAGGGGAGAATCCTCCAACACATGCATTGCAAAAGTCTAAAACTGACCTGCAAGGATCCCTATGGCAGCTGTGGCTTATGGGACATACCAGGGGCAGGCGGAG